ATTTCTGTGGAGGGGACTTAGGCCCCCCACACCTCAGAGGGGTGATCTTCATGGGGTAGGCAGCATGGGGGTCCCTGCCCCGGCTTCCTCCGCTGAGCCCAGTGATGAGGACCCTCAGTGGTCCCGACATCCATGAGCCCTCGAGACGGTGAGCCATTGGTTCAACCCCCAGCTATGGTCAGAGAACTAGAGAGGTCTTAAGGAATGACCAGTTGAATTGGCCCAGGGTGGAAGTGAGAGGCTGAGTGAGGGTTAGGAAATCTGGACTCTAGCGGGTCACCAAATCCCACCAAAATCCCTCTGCCAAGACCGAAGACCAAAGCCTCTCAGCCCTCACCGGGGCCACATGGAAAGTCTGTTTGCCTGGTGTTGCCATGCTGCCTGTTATCTGTGGTGCCCTCCGTCACTGCCACGGCCCCTTGGGCTGGTCCCCCAAGGCCGCCATCATGGGCTTGTTCCCTATGCCCACCCCTCAAATGTGCCTGTTCCCCAGGCCTGGCGCCCTCCCCTGCCATCTGCTCTTCTGGGCAACTCCTCCACTCCAGGGCTCTGGCTGTGCTCACGTATCCAGGGCTCACTCTTCTGCCCAGGCCCCTGCCCAGAGCTCCTCCCCCAAGACCTGTCTGCCTCACCGGCTTCGCAACCTGGGGGACCCAGGCCTACCACCCTCCCACCCTGACCCACCCCCCCATATTCCCCTGCCTCTGAGAATGGCGTCACCAGCCACCCAGGCTCCTGAGCTAGAATTAGGAATCATCCAACGCACAGTCATCCTCGACACCTCCCTCTCACCCCCACATGGAATTGGTCATCAACTCCTGTGGATTTCGTCTTAGAAAGGATCCCCAGCACACCCTCCTGTCAGCCCCCACTGGGAGCATCAGAGGGCAGGACCTGCCACCTCTCTCTGATTCCCTCAGCTGCCCCCTCACTCACCTCTCCAGTCCATCCTCCATGCTCACCACCACCAGCAAGACAGGGATCTTGGACCACCCCTGCTCAGAATCCTTCCGTGACTCCCCATTGCCCTCAGGTAAAATGCTGACACCTTCACGTGGCCTACGGGGACCTGCCTGCCCCAGCCCCACCTCCATTTCCTGCCACATTCCCAGCCTGCCCAGCATTGCCCACACCAAACATGCCATGCTGGCCAGCTTATGCTTTTCTCTTCTCCAGCAGGCTTTTCCTGCCCTCTCTTATCAAAACCTTCTGTTTCTTCCTGGCCTCCCTCCTCTGAGAAGTCTTCCTTCCTTGTTCTTCCATCAATGCACGGTAACCCCCACCCCCTCCCAGTTTCCATGGCACTTGGTTTGTCTCTCTGGGATCCATCTGCTTGCCTTTCTGACTCCTTCCCTAGACTTGAAGCTTCTCAAGGGCACGGGCTGCTCTGGTCCATCTCTGTGTGCCCAGCCCTGGTGTATGGAGTTGGCAGCTATAAACATCTGCTGACTTGAGGGCCGATGGAATTGAAATGGGAGGAAAAGGCTTAGATGTCAGCTCTGTCCCTAAACACCTGCTCCTGAGTTGAGGGCCTCGTCCGCTGCCCTCCCCCGCAGCCTTCCCATTGCCTGCGTCTCCCCACCCTGCTTCCCTCCTACCTGCTGCCCTCAGCACAGTTGGGAGCCTGGGTCTGCAACAGCCCCGCTGGGAGGGGGACGCCTCGGTCTCCACCAGGGCCAGTGCTCTCCAGGGAACAGGCTGAGTAGGCCGTGGCCCTGGCCCGTGGTCCTCCACTGTGGTGGTGAGCAGCCTCTCCGATTTTAATGCGGGCTTCAGTGCTTCAGTGAAAGCCGGCATGGGAAGTTGCTAATAATGGCACTAAAATAAAATATGCTACATCTGTTATGGGTAGCAGAACAAAATTAGCTGCTCACACCTCTGACATCCAAGATGTCTTAACTTAAAATACTCCTTGGCTTACTTTACATCATTTACTGATTATATTTAAAAGAAATACAATTTTGCAATTACTGTTCTTTCCAGCGTGATATCTATGCATCATTTTCCTTTTATGTTTATATATTTCTCCTTCATTAGTGCAGTCTGAAGGGTGATTAGGATTCTTCAAACATTTTACAGAGGTTAAACGTTGATTAAGATTTAATTATTACTGTAAATAGCTTGGAATGACATATGGTGCAAAAGCCTGACATATGTGCATTTGAATAAATGAAGTGCTATTTCCCAGGATGCCTCAGTAGCTGTTTAACAGCTTTCCCGAAGGGTTATGTTACACCTCATGGTAAGATTGCTGGGATGTTATATTTTGTTGGTTTTTGCAGCTGAAAGCTAAGAACAGTTTTCCAGTTTTTTAAAAACATTGAATATTTTAAATACCTAAATTGTTTTGCACAAATTTTTGCTAATTTGTCTAACTAGGTTAAACATTTTCAAAAGCATTTAGATTTTTAAGCGTGGGCGCTGTGCATTGTGTCAGTGGCGGCATGGGGACGAGGAGAGCCGGTGGGGTGGAGGGGACTCGGAGGCCGGCAGGGGTGTGGAGGGAGGAGGTGGTTTGAGGAGAGGGGTTGGGGAAGAGGCCTGGTCCCTGAGCCTCGCTCTTGTCTCTTTGGCCCTCTCAAGTGGCCTGGGTATTGGGGTGCCAGGGACTACAGGAAGAGGGTCCCCCTTCTCCAGGAACTTCACCAGGCCCACCAGCTGTAGCCCACACTGAATCCCCTCTTGTCTGGTCTCAGACATGACTGAGTTCTCTGAAAGCCCGTCCAGTCTATGGCACCTCCCACCTACTGCCCAGAGTTGCCACGTCTTGATGTATAGCAGGTACCTGGGACCAAGCTCAGCGAGCTGAGTTTCAAAGGCCTGGTGCTCCCTTGACTCAGTCCAGGGCAGGTGTCAGGCTGGGGCCTCCCACAGAGGGAGCGCCTCCCTCCCGGCTCCCTCAGGTTTGGGGGCTCAGGTGTCCCCACCAGATCAGTCCCTGGAGCTGCAGATCAACATCTGGGCGGCTGTGGAGACTCCAGGGGGACCCCAACCTCCCAGTACCCTCTGCCTCTCTTCTTTCCGCTCACTGATCCAACACTTATGAACACCTACTGTCTCCCGGCACTGGGCCTTGAGGATGCAGGATGAACAAGATCACACACCCGCTGCCTCACAGAGCTCGTGATCTAATGTGGAGAAGCGGGAGATGAGCGATCGGGCAGCCTTGAACCACATGCTACAACGGCTGTACAAAGTGCAGGGGAGAGTGGGGCTGGAGAGGTGGCCGTACCCAGCCTGGATGAGGGAAGATGTCTAAAGCTGAGGGGATCGGGGTTGGGGAAGAGAGGAAGTGGCAGAGGTCAGCTCAGGCGAAGACTCGGGGTGGGAATACCCCAGTGTATCTGAGGCACGGTGATAAGTGGGTGTGCCGTGTCCCCAGTCCAAGGGACTGGGTGGTGAGGGGGCAGCAGGGGTGGATCTTGAGGGATCCAGGGATCCCACTGGGTCCCTGAGGGCAGTGGGGCCAGTGAGCCATTTCATAACAAAGAGAGGCATGGCCAGACTTGCAGCTGAGAAGGCTCCGCTGGCTGTGATGGGGGAGGGACTGGAGTGGGTGACACCTGAGGGGAGGGCAGGAGGCCCCGGGGTCTCCGGCCAGAGCACCATTGGGTGGAGGTGTGGTTAGCAGGGGTTGTGGGGGAGGAGGTGAGGAATTCCGTTCTGCTCTGGATGGGCTGAGTACCTGTGGGGCTATTTGCAGGGAAGAGGAACCCTGAGACCCTGAGAAGTGTCCAGTGGGTGTCACACAAAGGGAGCTGGCAGTAACTTTGGAGAGGAGGATTGTTATGGAGCATGGTAGGAACAGAGGCCAGATCTGCTGTGGGTTGGAGTCAGTGGGAGGTGAGGAGATGGTGCTGGCCAGTGTGGACGATGCCTTGAAAAAATGTGGCTGTTGGAGGGGAGAGAGACCCGGTGGTAGCTGGAGCGTAACATGGGGTTAAGGGGAGGTTTTATGGGACGGGAGGTTCTCTGCTGATGAGCAGGAGGCAGTGGGCTGAAAAGTGGGAAGGAGGGAGGGCAGTCCAGCGGTGGTCTCCAGAGTGGGGTCTTCAGGGGGAGGGATAGCTGCAGTGGGGCAGCTGGAGGGCAGGTCCAGAGCAGAGTGTGGACACAGGTAGGTCGTGGGTTTGACGAGAAGCTGACGGCTGTCTTCTGATACCTTCTGTTTTCACTCCGAAGCAAGAAGATGAGTGCGGAGCTGAGGGTGGGGTTGGCTGAGGACAGCAGAGGAGGTTTAAGGTGGCCTCTGTGGAGAATGAGAGAGGGAGTTGACCGGCCATGTGGCCCAGGGCTGGGGACTGTCTGGCCACTGTGAGGGTCCAGCCAAAGTCAGGGGCAGTGAATGTTCAGTGGTCTCCGCTAGGTGGTCAGGTTTAAGTGGAGAGAAGGTAGATGCATAACTGGGTTCCTCCAAAGCAGGGATTCTGCCAGGCAGGCCAGAAGGGCCTTGCAGCTCAGAGAGGCTGAAGTGGTTGGCCCTTCGTGTCCAGGTTGGAGGGGGAGGTTGTGAAGACTGAGCCGTAGGGAGTCTGGGGCTGGGGTCTTGGTGGTCTGAAAACGGATAGGGAGAGTGAGTGGGGTGCTGGAAGGACAGGCGATGGTGGGGTCCAAGAGGGCGGGGTTTGGATTTAAGGAGTCTGGATGGAGCAGCCCTGGGGGTGTGTCCTGGGAGTGGTCTATGCAGCATCGGGGACAGGGTCCTTGGAGTTGAGGGAGACAGAGAGCTCAGAGGGTAGGACGTTCCCCAACATGGACGCGCTGGCAGAGGAAGAGGCATGACCTGGGCTGGAAGGGGTATCGTGAGCCCCTGGGCCGAAAAGCGGTAAAGAAGGAAGATGTATCATTAGGCAGCACACGCGGGCCCTGGCTGGGGTGCCGGGGGCAGAGGGGAGAAGTGTGGGCACCAGGAGGTCCTAACTGCTACTCCCAGCTCCCCACTCATCCCTTCCCTCCCATCCCCCTCACCTTTCCTCTCTCTGTTCTCACTCTCTTCTCAGATCGAAACGACCCAGTTAGAGCCTGAGATTGCCCGAGCCACGAGCAGCCAGACAGTGGTGTACAACAAGGGGCTGTGAGCGGTGGCCGGCCGGCCTGGGGGATGGAGTGTTGTCCAGGCCGGGAGTTGGGGCAGGGAAGGAGTCCCGTGGGCTGCACCTGCACGGAGAGGCCAGCTGACCCCCCAGTCCTGGGCTACCTGTGGGAGCCCTCCCCCCACAGTGGTAGGGAGACTAATCTATTCACACTTTAACATAAGGGACAGGAATTCTGACACATTTACTATGAAAAATAATCAAGTGCATTTCTGGGCCTTATGTGGGGTTGTCAAAACTCTACTTAGCACAATTATGTGTGAAGCTGAAAAATTGTAGAGTGCCCACGGGGTAGGATTAGGATCCTTTTATACTTTGGTTTCTTTTTTCTTTTTCTTTTTTATCAGAATCAAGCCTTGGTTGCAGCTGCCTGGATGCAACAGGTGGTGGGCGGAGTAGGCCTGGTGGCCTTGGTGGCCTGGCTGGTAGATTTAAGATATTACTGTGGCCAGGCCCGATAGCTCCCTGGGCTGGGCTGGGCTGCGCTGGGCTGGACTAGGGAGGGGAGGGGAGCCAGTCTACACTTCACAGGATGAACCAGCTGTGACTGAGTTCCGCAGGAGGTGGCCCAGGAAGTCAAGGGGCACTGGAGGCCTCTAGAAGATTCCTTGGGCAGCTGGCTCTGTGACCAGCCTTCATGCCACACCTGCAGAACCAGTTCTTCTGCATGAAGCCCAGTGACACACTGAGGCTGGTGTCACCCTCCACGGAGCCCTGATCCATTTGAGACCCGGAGAAGACCCCAGCCCCAGGCAGGAAGTCCTAAGAAAGAACTATGCTTGGTGGGAACCGTGGCCTGCCCCCTGCCCTCTGCGGGAAGATCTTCCTTCCAGACACAGCCTGGAAGCTGGGCGTTGGGACTGAGGGTAGGGCTGGAGCCAGGCTGACTGCTGTCCTCTCCAGCCACCGGACCACCTGCCCCAGCCCACCATTTCCTAAGCAGGAGGGTCTCGTGCCGGGGAGTGCAAAGCCCAGATCTCTAGGCATCTACCTGAGAGCATCAACCCAGGAACAGCAGGCCCCAGCTCTGGCACTAATGGGCTGTGTGACCTTGGATGTGTCCACTACCTTCGCTGAGTCTCCACTCCCTGTCCGGAACCAGAGGACTGGATTGAGGGGTTCCCACCTGCTATTCCAACTAGACTTTGTCTTTGCCTGTCCTGCTCAGATGCTGGGCATCCCAGGCATACCCCCAGCGTGGACACTGGACTGGGAATGGGGCAGGCTCCCTTGGAAATGGCCAGCTGTTGGCCTCAGAACCTGGACCTTTCCCTTCTGTATGTGAACACACATTCCTGGAGCACTTGACCTTTGCCAAACACTTTACAGGTCTGAGGGAAGAGGCAGCGTGCATGCCTGGGCCTGAGTGTGGGCCCACATGCTCATGCCGCTGCCTCTCACCCTGCATGGGCCTCCGAGGCCCATTGCTGCTGGCTTTCATTTGCAGGCTAGGAAAGGGGAGAGTGCTACAGGAGCTTTGCAGAGGAAGCAGGGCCTGAGGTGGGGGTGAACAAGATAAGCCCCCTGACCCCCATCTGAAAGGCCCAAACAAAGAGGAAGCCTGGGCCTCCATGCATCCTTCACCTGACCCTAACTTGAATGGAGCCCTTGATATGCAGCCAAAGGGCCTCTGCTTCCCTGGCGACTTCATCTGGGGAGAGACCTGGCTGGAGATGAACACATGCACTTGCAGGAAAAGGCTATTGCAGGACGGCAAGGGCGTGGCCATGGGTGGCTCTTGCCATCTTTAGGGCAGGGTAGTTGTGAGGTGCATTGATACCACGCACTCCTCAGAAGCCCCTGCTGCCCTCACCACCCAGGCAGGCCCTGGTGCCCCGCAGCTAGCTCTGCAGGATGCTGCCCTGAGGGCTCCCCACTCTCCTAAGGAGCAGCCCACCCACTGCCCATCAGGAAAAGGAGACAGCAGAGACAGGCATGGAGGACACAAGAGCAGAGGGGGTACCACAGTGTTGGAGGGGCAGGTCGTTTTTAGCTAATCCTGCCATAATGTGAATGTACCAGTGATGGGGGTGCTGGGCATGTCTGGGTCCTCTTTTGAAAAGCTCACTTCAAACTCACCTTGTCCCACCTCTCATAGGGTCTTGTTCTTTTGCACTTTATACCTTGGGACCAAAACTGCTCACCCCAGCTCTACTCCCACCCCATCCAGGGGCCTGGCAGAGATGGGGTCTTTCCAACTCTGCCTCTGTGCTGGTTGCCCCTGCCCAGCCCCACCCCTGCCCGAGCCTTGGGAGTCCTGTGGCCTCTGCATCTCATAACCTACTTACTTTGTCTCCTGGATGCTTTCCAGTCACGCTCCCAATACAATTTCACGTGAGCTAAGGGGGTTTCTCCTGGGGAGTGGGAGGGGTGGGTGGCAAAGGATCCTTGTAGCTCAGGGTGACAGAGGTTCAGGCGACCATGCTACTAAGTCCTGGTCTGGCTGCAAAAAGTACCATGAGGGGAAGCTTTTGACCAACATCCATCTTCTACTCGGCTGAGGACAGAGGAAGGGAGGCCTCGTGGGCAGATTGGTTCATAACTAGGGGTGGTGGGAAGGCTGAGCCGGGATCCACTGAGGGCTGGGCCTGGCCCAGCTGTGCCAGAAGACAGGGCACACCTGCAACTGGCTCTCTCTCTAGCCCTGGTGTACCCTCCTCTGGTCACTTCAAACATTCCCTCAGGCTTGGGGATGCCCTTCTCCTATTCCAGAGAGCAATCTGAGAGCACAGGAACTAAAAGCCGAAGAAGTCAAGATAAGCAACAGACCCCTTTTCCAGTTCCTGACTGTGAGCCAGCTGGTCTCCTGTCCTGGGCCTCTAGCCTGAGAGCAGGGTGACGTCCTGAGAGGACAAGGGCACTGGACGGAAGCAAGGTGGTTGTCTAGCCCTGGGCCAGTGTGAGTGAGACACCAGCACACACGCCTTGGCCACTCCCAGGGAACTTTGCAGTGTCTTTTTAACCTTCTCACAAAATTTCTCAATCTCTGTGATTTATGTAATACTAATGAGCTGTGGGCAATAAATGATGGATTTAAAGCATCAGGGCTTGGCTTTGTGAATTGTGGGTGGGAGAGGTAGGGGTGGGGAGACAGTGGGAACAAGCCAAGAGCTGACTGAGGATTTTGTGAGAAGGCCCCTGAGGAAGGTGCAGACCCAGGCTCCAGGAGGGGTCAGGCCTGCTAGGAGGCCCAAAGGGAAAGAGAGACA